CTCGTTCCCCGTAAAAGGGGGAAACCTCCAAAAAAATTACAAATTTAAAAATCGCTAATTTTCGATATTTTTCAATTGTTTTTTACTTAAAAGTGCCATAACTTTTTCAAAAATGAACATATTGATATAATTCTTTTGTATATAGATGCATAATATCATTACCTTTCATTTGGTATATTTTTTTCATAAATTTAACCCATAACCTGCCCACAAGGGGGGATTTAAAATGACAACTTTTTCACAAAAAATTAATTTTTTTAACTTAAATTTTGAAAATGTTCTGGAAGATCTGACACTTTTATATATATATCTTAAATTAAAGCTAATGTAGTATGCTTTATCATGAAAAAAAAAATTTCTGACTTTATCTTATCTTCATGGTAAAAATGGCTACCGATAGCTATTTTTGTGTGAAAATTTTCGATTTTGTATTTTCAATTTTTAACTTTATTATGCTATAACTTTTTGAAAAATGAATGAATCATTACAATTTTTTTATGAGAAGTAGTATTTATATAGATCTTTCATTCGACATACTGTTTTTTTAAATCGGACCATTTCCCTAAATACAGGGGGGATTCAAAACATAAAAATGCATATAGAAAGTAGAACTTTTTCAACGTAACTTTTGAAAGTGTTCCGGAAGGTCTGACACTTTTATATATATCTTAAATTAAAGCTAATGTAATATACTTTATAATGGTAAAAAAAAATTTCGGACTTTATTTTATCTTCATGGTGAAAACAGACATTAAACTTAATAAAAAAAATACGATTTTTGTAAAAAAATTCTTTTTTATATTTTTAACTTTATAATGCTATAACTTCTCGAAAGATGTATGGATCAATATAATTCTTTTTTTTGTAGATGCATGATGTCTTTACCTATCATTTGGTATATTTTTTTTATAAATCTGACTTTTTACCTGCCTACAGGGGGGGATTCAAAATGACAACTTTTTCACAAAAAATTGACTTTTTCAACTTAAATTTTGAAAGTGTTCCGGAAAGTCTGACACTTTTATATATATCTTAAATTAAAGCTAATGTAATATACTTTATTATGTAAAAAACAAATTTTGGACTTTATTTTGTCTTCACGATGAAAATGGCTACCAAATGCTATTATTGAGTGAAAATTCTCAATTTTATTTTTTACATTTTTAACTTTATAATGCTATAACTTATTGAAAAGTGTTTTGATCAATATAATTTTTTTATGGGAAATACTATTTTNTTGATCAATATAATTTTTTTATGGGAAATTCTATTTTTTAATAATCCCTTTTTCATTCGACATACTTTATCTTAATCAGGATATTAATAAGGAACTAGCAGTTTATGAAGCTTTTGGAATAATCCACCAATTTTTTAAAATTAAACACTATCTAAAGATTTGCATCGAAGCGTTTTTTTTTGATAGTGATTTTAATCACTGTCAGATATCATTATACTT